TATGGGGTCTTGCTCTTGCTCAGGCTGGTCTGGAACTTCTGAGCTCAAACGATCCAGCCTCCCAGAGTGCTAGGATTACAGGAGTGAGGCACCATGCCCGGCCCTGATTTATTCTTTTTGCTTAAAGTTGCATTGGCTATTTACAGTCTTCTCTGGTTCCATAGGAAGTATAGAATTATTTTTTCTAGACCTGTGAAAAATGATGATGATGTTGGTACTTTAATGGGTATTGCACTGAATCTGTAAATCGCTTTGGGTAGTATGGAGATTTTAACAATATTGATTGTGCCAATCCATGAGCATGGTATGGATTTCCATCTATTTACATCCTATGCTATTTCCTTCCTCAGTGTTTCATAGTTCTCCCTGTAGAGGTCTTTCACCTCCTTGGTTTAATATATTCCTAGGTATTTTATTTTCTTTATTGCTATTGTTAAAGGCGATTGAGTCATTGATTTGATTCTCAACTTGACTGTTAATGGTGAATTAATGTCATTTGTAACAACATGGATGGAACTGGACACCATCCTTTTAAGTCAAGTATGGCAAGAATGGAAAAACAAAAACCACATGAACTCACTACTAAATTGTAACTAATAGATCAACAGTCATGTGCACATATGGTAGTATAATTCAATGGAAATAAAGCAGGTGGGAGAGAGGAGGTGGGAATGGGTAAGTTCACACCTAACGAGTATAATGCACACTATCTGGGTGATGGACACACTTATAACTTTGACTCACTTTGTACAGAAGCAATTCCTGTAACCAAAACATTTGTACCCCCATAATATTCTGAAATAAAAAATAAAAAGAAATATTAACAATTCTAAACAATCTCCTCCACAAATTAGAAGACAAAGGAATAACTCCTGCCTGATTTTATAAGACCAGTTGTTGCCCTGATATAAAAGCAGATATTATGATAAAAGAAAACAAGAAACTAATAATCCTCATGAATATACACACAGAATTTTTTAACAAATTAATAACAAATTTAATTGATATATATATGTGTGTATATATATATATGTAGCATAATACATCATACATCACAGCCAAGTAGAGTTCATTCCAGTAATGTGAGCCTGTTTCAACATCAGATATTCAATCTACATAATTTGTGATATTATCAGAATAAGAAAAAAAATCAATAGATTCAGAAAAAAAAATCATTTGACAAAATGCAACATTCATTTATGATGAAAAATTTCAGCAAACTAAGAGTACTTTCTTAACCTGATAGAGGTCATCTATAACAACCTACAACTGATATTATAATGGTGAGAGATTGACAAAGCAAGAATGTCTTCTCTCATCACTACTGTTGACCATTGTATTGGAAGTCCTGAACAGTAATATAATTTAAGAAAAATCAATAAAAGCTCCCAAATTGGAAAGGAAAAAAATTCTCTCTATTAAAAGAAAACATGTTTTTCTATGTAGAAAACATCTGGAACCTTAAAAACAAAAGCAAAGAAAAGTAAACAAAAATCTCTAAGAATAAGGGAATGTAGTAAGTCAAAGGATACAGAACTTAATTGCATCTCTACATACTAGTAATGAGTATCTACAAATCAAAAATAATTGAAACCACACCAAGTACAATATCATCAAAAAATTAAATATTTATGTTTGGATCTAACAAAGAATATGCACAATCTATATGCTGAATAATAAAAAACACAAAAAAAGCCCTAAATAATGGGTATGTACACTGTGTTCGTAGATTAGAAAACTCATTAAAACATTAATTCTTCCAAAATCGATTTACATATTCTGTACATTTTCAATTGAAGTTATAGAAGGACATTTTGTAGATACCAATATATCAAATGTAAATTTATATACAATAGGAAAGTAATTATAACCAAAACATTTTGAAAAAAATTATTTCCAGTCCTCACTCTACCTGATTACTAAGACTTATTATAAAGTTACAGCAATCATAACACTGTTTTATTGGAGAAAAGGATAAACACACAGATAAAATGAATAAAATAGAACATAAGTAGAACCATACAAAAATGTTTGATTTATTTTTGACTAACATGCTTTAAAGGCAATTAATAAAAAAAGAATTGATTTAGAATAAATAGTGTCAGAAAAATTGAACATCCACATGTAAAAAAGTGAACCTTGACCTGTATTCACATTTTTTATAAAAATTTACAGTAAATAGATACAAAAGCCTAAATGTAAAAACATAAAATGTTAAACCTTTAAAAGAAAATACCCAAAAGAAAACTTATGATGTGAGAATAGGCAATCAATTCACAGAGACAGCACAATAGAAAAAAAATAATAATTAACTTGACTTTAAAAATAATTTTTCAAATGCTCTGAAAAAGAAATTATTTAAAAAGTGAAAAGGCAAGTCATATACTGGGAAAAAAGTATTTGCCAATCACCTATCTGACAAAGTATATGCACACAGAATAGGTAAAGAACTATCACAACTCAATAATGAGAAAAATAATGTGGACAAAGTTTTGAACAGCCACTTTATCAAAGAAGAAAGAGAGCAACTGAGCAAATGAGAAGATGCTCAACAACAGTCATTAGGGAAATGCAAATCAAACCACAATGTGATAGCATTACACATCTATTAAAAAGGCTAAAATTATAAACAAAACAAAACCTGTTAACACCAAGTGCCAGTGAGGAAGTGGAGCAACTGACACTCTCATGCATTTCTGGTGAGAATGCAAAATGATATGACGACTTTAGAAAACCATCTGGCAGATTTTTATAAAGTAATGATTTAATTATTAAATGACCTTGCATCCTCACTCTTAGATGTTTACCCAAAATAAATGAAAACTTATGTTCACTCAGAAATCCAGGCAAATGGCTATAATACACTTATTCATAACGGTGAAAAAGTACAAATCAACATGCCTTTCAACTAGGAAATAGACAAATGAACTATGGTAATCCATACAATGTAGTGCTATTGAGTGATTAAAAAGAAACATACAATTGATACACATAATCCACATGGAGGAATATCAAATGCATTCTCCTAAGTGAAAGAAGTCAGACTCAGACAGCCATGAGCTATATGATTCATTTATATGACATTCAGAAAAAGGCAAAACTATAAGGAAAAAGAGAGTTTTGCTACAAAGCAGCTGCATAGAAGTGTCTGGCTTAATGGAAGTATTAATATCTCTGTATCTTTATTGTGGTCGTGGGTACAAGACTATGTGTTTGTCAAATCACATAATACTCTATACCCAAAAATGTGAATTTAGTTGTGTGTGTGTGTATAATATATATATATATATATTTTACCTCAATAAAACTGACATTAAAAAAGTACCTGATATATTGTTAGTTGCTTTACTTTACTATCCATTTGCATATATTTTATGTTATAATCCATATAAGTTTTGTGTATAGAAAAATCTACAAGAAAAGATAGCTTCAAAAGCATGTTTATATATGAAGTTTTTGCTTTTGATCAATTCAGTTAATCCTATTAACAATATTTTATTATTTTAGTACCCTGAAAAGTATTTTGTGTGTTATCTGTGTCATATGGGTAATTTAGCAATGATTCTCTGTAGCCTTCAAGTCCCCTTTTATTGTTTTGGGAAGAAACTTTCAAGAGAACTAAATCACATTAAAAGAGAAACATTGAAATATAAAAATATTAAAAATAGCACTATTCATAGCCACACATATATTGACAAATATTACTTTTAAAATAAACACATAAGAAATTATATTTTCTTTCTATACTCAGATTTTCACAATGTTGTGAAGAGAACAGATATTAGGTTCAGCCGGACATGGATTTTAAACTAATTCTGCCACTTGTTAACTAGTGAGCCTTGAGTTAGCTCTGAACAAGTCACTGAACTTATCTTTCTGATATTCAGTAATACAATCTGTAAAATGGTGATATATATCGTACAGAATGGAGGTAGAGATTATATGAGATAACGTGAATATAAAGCACATGATACTGAACCTAACCCATGAAAGCCACCCAGATTGCACCTTAATTAAATATGCATGCTACTCTTACCTCCTTTTGGAAAACAAAATGAAACAAACATTTTCTTCACACAGACCTTGCTTATCTTTATGCTATGAAGTTATTTATTTGAATTTATTTTACAGAAGGAGAAGTATCTTTAATAAAATGTGTCACTCATAGTCAGTGTAGATAGAATTACCATCATGCTGAGAACTAAAATATATAAATCATTGTACTAACTTAAATCTCAGGAGTGTGAAATGTATATGTTGGCTGGGATAGGAACAATGGAGAAGTGGTAAAGATTTTGGATAAGTAAAATAAACTAACAATGTTGTACAGTTCTTAGTTTTTTCCAAAGCTATACATAATGTGAAATGTAACTTGCCCATGACAACATAATGATCATCTTAAAAAATTTTCCTTTTTTCATCCAGTACTGATTGTTTTCCTCACAAAAACTTCAATTGATGGAAAGAGACTTTGGCAAGAAGGTAGGTTATGAGGGGTACAATACAGAAAATGTAGTTTAAGAATCCCTGATCTGATTTTGAAAGAATACATGAATTTTAAAACAATATTAAATAAAGTAAACAGATGTGTACACCTACTTCTAGCATTTTTAAACCTTATATTTGGGCAATCAATTGGATTTTTGTCTCTTTATATTTAAATATTTAAATAGTTCAGTTTAAATGACATGGATTGGAAATTCTGAGATGTTTACTACAAATTATTAATTATGTCAACTTGGATTCAAAGTTTAAAACTCTAGAAAAATATTTTTTAAAAACTTTTCATTTATATTAGAATACAAAATATTCACTTTAAAGTTAAATAAGGTAAAAAAAAAAAACAAAAGATTAATGAAATAAAATACAAAACAATGAAGTTGCATTGATCCACAAAAACAATGTAAACTATTAATGAGAATCAAGATGATTTAGCTTATGTCTTAAGAAAATACCTATAGTCTTTCCAAGAATATATAATTAAGGATATCTACTCATACCTCCAAGTAGAGTGATTCATTCATTAGACCTCAGATTCATTAAAATCAATTCTTGATTTAGGTTTGTCACACACTAAAAGATACAATAGTGGCAATCAGTTTTGATTAGCATTCATTATAGTAGGCCTATCTGACTTAGTGGCTGTCAGGTTTGCTAATTTTTACTTTCCTTTTTTCTAAAACTATCTGAAGCACTGAATATATAATTGAGTGTTGTAAACGAAGTGAACAGGTGATTTAGAACCATGCTTTCTGAATGTCAGCATCCTAACTTTCTTTCCACAGGTCAAACTACATTTTAAAATTATCCCTCTTCAGCCCACAGAGGTCACAATAATCTTAGCCATTGCCAGACTGGGGATTGAATAAATCTGTAAACATACACAACAGCATTGCCACATTATTTCTCTAAAGTACGGTCACTTGTGTTCTTGAAAAATGCTGTAATCCCCGTTTTAGTAGACAATACTTTCAGAGTCAGGCTGGTAATTTGGTTTTATTAACCACAAATTTCAAAAGATCAATAATCCATTAGAATTATTTTCAAGAAAGCAGCTTTCAGAAGACGATTTCAACATTTTTCTCCAACATACACACACAAATACACACACACCCTCAGTATTTATAAATGTACTCCATGCTCTATTTGGACATGCCATGACCATTACTAGCACTATATATTTTGTTGGGTTTAACTTTCTGTCTCTAAAAAAATTTTGCTTAGCATCGAACACAATAAAATTTATATTTTTAACAATTTTTTTTTCATTTCAGTCAACAAAGAGCTCTCTTTCCTCTGAACTTGTGTAGTCTTTGGTATGTGTTTATTACGATAAGTTACATGGGACTTTGCAGTAGCTATGTATGCCTGAATATACTTTCTCTTACTAGGTTTTAAGGTTCTTATAATGTCTCAGCCTTTCCCAGAAAGAACCTTTCCCACAATGTTGTTAAGGACTATGACCCCCTGAGAATCAGGAGCGAGGGAAAAGGGGGATGAGCCAGGAAAGGAGGCAGAGCCAATGTCATAGTGCATTACTGATGGTGTCAGATGTAATTGTTCACTCAATTTTGAAGAACTATCTTCAAAATGGTCAAATAAACTCCTTCTAGGAGGACAAAATCATAGGCTACCTCCTGTTTCTCCCTGGTCTAAGGTTCATCCAATGGTGCACCATCTTCCTGCACAAATGGGACACATACCTATGGGTGCTGACAGGGCTCCAATGCATCATCACATGCTTTAGTGACAACTATGAAGCCCTACAGAGGACATGAAAGAAACACAGCAAAGACCTGATGTGTGACGCTCTTGGGCACTGCACATAGGAAACTGCACATATGAGATTACTCAGTTGTTGTCCCAGTGGCTGGAGCAGAAGCAAGGGCCATCTTCCCAGAACACAAGTGGCACTGAAAGGATCTAAGGTGGCACATAAGAAGTGTCTGATTTAGTGTGTAAGTATCATGAAACTGTAATCATAAAGCTGACGTTCATCTTTGAAATACCCACTGTACTGCAAATGTTTTATATATGACAGTTATTAAAATATTTGCTGAATAAATAACAATGTTAAGAAAATGTAATGGAAGTTAAGAGTGAATGTTCACATTATGAATGAATAATTCTGTTAAAAGAAAAGACAACAGGCTAGTAACCTGTAAATATTTTAAATTGGAAAGAGCTTTAGGCAGCTATTAGTTTAAATACAAAGTTAGGAATAACTTGCACTCCACTCTGCTGAATCATTGAGAAAATCAGAGCTGTTTTTTTTTAATTCTACTTTTGGTGAAAATAGCTTTGTGACCACTCTAGGCCTTATTTTTTCCATCTGTGAAGTCCTAGAAACGATTTTGATGACATCTAATATTTTATACAAACTGATTTGTTTGAGATTCTGCATCTGTGGCAAATAAATAATTAGACAATAAATACTGAGCACAAATTATGAGCCAGGTACCTTTCTAGTTGCTAAGAATACAGTCATGAAAGCTAGATATGACTCCCGCCCTACTGAAGTTAAAATTCTAGTGTGGGGAGTTATACATCAAAATAAATATGTGTGCAGTGTATTAACAGCTAGGAGGCCAGAGAGATGGGTTGCAATATTTACTAGAGTTCAAGGAGGGAGTGGACTTCACATGTTCTGGGAAACATGTGATAAATAACTCTGTGACTGAGCCAAATGATGGAAGTAGAGACTATTACAGGGATGATGCTAGAAAGTTAAAAGGAAGTCAGATCATGTAGCACTATAGAACATTTTAAGGAATTTGGCTTTTACCCAGAAGGAGATAGAGTCACTGAGGGTTTTGAGCAGAGGAATGATATGGTTTGGCTTAGGTTTTTAGAAAAAGATCAGGATTACTTTGGCTGCAGTGTTGCTAGATGTAGTACCTAATTATTTTAATTTCAAATTTTATTATTAGCAGCAGGATGGCCATATACAGTAATTTATAGTCCAAACCAGAAGTGGAGGTGGAAAGTGAAAACAAGGAAAAATTTTGGATCAGATACATATCCCAGGAAATCTCTGGACACCTGGTAAATGATTAAATCCTTACATATAATCAAATTATATTATAGGTCTGTCTTTTTATTCAGGCATTTAAGGAAAATGTGACTTCAAGGGATTAGTGAAATATGAGACATTCATGATAGGTACATTGAGAAGAAGGTATGGTATTTTGGAAGATGGTCACACTGGAAACTCAGACCTGTGGGGGGCGGGGGGAAAGGGTACCTTTTGAAACCTTAAAATTTGTACCCCCATAATATGCTGAAATAAAAAATAAAAATTAAAAATTAAAAAATATATATATTTAGGTCTTTGTCTTGTAAGCCAACCCTTCCTCCTCTACTTAACTATATGAGGGCTTCATAGTGGCCTGCCAATATTGATTCTTATTCCATTCAAAAGTTCTTATTTCAAAAGCCATGTTTGATTCATACAATTACAAAGTGATGACATAATAGAAAAAATGTTTGGATATTATGAAGATACACACGGAGCCACTTAGTAATACTTTAATAAGCTTATATTACTACCCTAGAATAGTGGTCTCCAAACTTTTTTGGCACCAGGGACAGGTTTTATGGAAGATAATTTTTTTCACGGCCCAGGGGGAAGGTATGGTTTCAGGATGATTCAAGAGCATTACATTTATTGTGCACTTTATTTCTATTGCTATTGCACTGTTAACCTCTCTGCTAATGATAATCTGTATGTGCAGCTATTCCCAGCGCTAGCATCACCACCTCAGCTCCACCTCAGATCATCAGGCATTAGATTCTCACAAGGAGCTCACAACCTAGATCCCTGGTATGCACAATTTATATAGAAGCATTGGCACTCCTATGAGAATGCTGCCGCTGATTTGACGAGAGGCAGAGCTCAGGTGGTGATGCAAGTGATAGATAGTGGCTGTAAATACAAATGAAGCTTCACCTGCTGCTTGTCTGCTGCTCAATTCCTGCTGTGTGGCCCTATTCCTAACAGTCCATAGACCAGTTCTGGTCCAAAGCCCTAGAGTAGAGTTTTAATTTGGCTTTCCTAAGTGTACTTTATCTAGTCATTAAAAATCACCATCACTTAAGAGAAAAAAAAAAAAAGCAAAAAATGAGCATGTACTTTCCAACATAATATACAGGCAAAATTACTATCCTTAACATGACATATATTATGCTATGCTCCTAAATATTGCTCTTAAATATTAAGGACATACTATATGCTAACATTTGTCTTTATCCTCATGTTTGGGTATAAAATATTTGATGTATAAAGAACATCAAAGAAAGTAAAAGAAAATGGCTTTAAGAAAAGAAATTTTGTTTTCATAAAATACATAATTTTATTTTCATAAAACATATACACCCATTACTGTAGGTAGTTTCTGAAATGGCTCGCAATGATCCCTTTTCCTGGTATTCATATCCTGTCCTTTCTCCATGATCATGAGCTTGAGATTAATCATGTTTGAGCTTAATCACTTCCAAGGTTAGATTAAAAACTTCTGGTTTTCTCCTGAAAAGATTGTACATATCTACTGACAATATACAGTGACATATCTTGCACACTCTTTTTTGCCCTCTTAGTTGCTGGCTCTTTTGAAACTGCTCCCATGTTGTGAGATGCCTTGTGGGGAAGACCATGTCGTGAGGTAGTGAAGTAAGACTCTAGCCAACAACCAGTAGGAATAGTAATGGAGAAACTCTAGCCAACAACCAGTAGGAATAGTAATCATTCAACAGCCACTTGAGTGATTATAGAAATGGATCCATCACTACTTGGGCTTTGAGATAACTATAGCCCAGTTGACACTTTATAGCCTTGTGAGATATTCAGACCCAGAGGACCCAGCTAAGTATTGCCTCATTTTCTGACCCACAGAAACTGTACAGTAGTAATATTTGTTACTTTAGTAACTAAGATATGGGGTAATTTGTTAAACATAAATATGTACCTTGTACACATACACACATAAACATGAAAAGCATAACTTTTGAGAAAAAACAAAAACTAGATGCAAGAACTAGACACAGTTCATCATAAACTAATATATTTGATTACAGCATGTGAAAATCACAGGGTATCTTTTCCTTATATATATACATTCTAGTTTTCAATAGAAAACTAGAATGATGCTGAAATTCACACACTGTGAAGTTAAGAAAGACACAGAAAACTTACAGAATGTATAGGAAGTAGTTGTGAAAAATAATTTAAAGGTTGAAATCAAAACTTATATGTAAGAATTTATATTTAAGGAAAAATGTACAAGGTTATGAAAATATGTCTCCTCTGACAGTAATCATTACTGTATTGCTGTAATATAATAAACAAAGTTCTGAATAACAAATGTGTGGCAGATTTAAACAACAATTCAGGTAAACAGACACCTGTCATTCCATGAGGGAGCAAAAAACAATTCCATTCTTCAGTAAAAACATCTTGTCTTTGTTTAAAGATACTTTTTCTGTGATTATTTCCAACAAACTGCCAAGCCCCTCAATCTTGACAAAAATTTTTATTTGATCAACTCTATTTTGGAAGTAACATTTCCCGCATGGCATGAAATTATGTTAATTTTTGAATATAGATTTTGTTTTGTTTTGTTAATAAGTACTTCATGAGAAGGAGAAAAAAATCAAAAAATTTCCCAGAGCAATTATACCTCAATCATTTAAAGCAATTCACCAAGCTTATGACTGTGGCTGATAATAAAAAATTGTCCTTCCAAAGCTAAGCTGATTACTACATCGTACATACCTACCTGTGTTCTAAAATTTTATAAATTGCATGTGATTGGAGCTCAGATGAAATCTAAATCACTGATTGCCTTTAACTATAGGAAACACTATTCAAAGAAATGGTGAAGTAAAACCCACATCCATTTATATACACACCGAAAAAAACAAAATGGAAAGTGATCTAATCAGAAGTATTGCACAAAATAGACAAGGAGAATGAAGAGTTATACAATCTCTCTCTCATGGTAAATGATTTCTCTCTTTGAGTAGGCATGTTGCTAATTGATGTATGCTGGAAGAATGTGTTTAGCTTTCACAACACACCAAATCCGACACTGAATTTGGAATCAGTCAGTGAGACAGGCAGAAGGCTTCTGGCTGGATTCCACATAATGTTATTACTTCATGGGATTTCTATGCCCTAAGCAGGTTTGGAAAATGTTTTTTTATCAGTTAATGCCAAACTAATTATGCTAATAAAATGGTGGAGAGTGGAACTCACTGATTTAGAAACTGTATAATATATAAAAGCACAATGTAAAATTAATCTATGGTGAATTTCAGAGTGGTCTGAAATATCAGCCATCACTGGAAATAACAGTTTCCAGATGTCTAGGAAGCTTAATCACTAGTTACAATATTGTTATGTGAGCCAAGAATTTTGGAAAGGAAGATAATTTTTATGGGAGATTTTCTTGGAGTTGTGGTAGTCTAACAAGGAAAACTTTTAGGTATTAGGAATATAACTGATTGGAATAATAGTCAAATGTTCTCTTCCCTGAACACTGATATAAATACCTAGAAATTTACTGAATCCTTCTCTTTAAACTCTTCACTATTATGTCATTCACATTTACTTTATTTAAAATTAATTAATTTATTTTAATAGACAAAACTGTATATTTTATCACATATAATATGTTTTGAATTACAGATACATTTTGATATAATTAGATTGAGCTAAATAATATATAGATTACCTCATATTCTTTTATGTGATGAGAACACCTAAAATTTACTATTTTAGCCATTTTTAAGAATGCAATACATTGCTAAACTATAGTCACTATGTTGTATAATAGATCTCCCGAACTTATTCTTCTTATGCAACTGAAATGTTGTACCCTTCCACCAACATCTCCCCAACCCTCACCCCCAACCCCAGGCCCTGGTAACCACCATTCTACTCTCTGCTTCTATGAGTTCAGCTTTATTAGATTCCACACATAAGTGAGACCATGTGGTATTTATCTTTCTGTACTTGGCTTATTTCAGTTAACAAAATATCCTCCAATTTCATCCATGTTGTCACAAATGATAGAATTTTTTTAAGGCTGAATAGTAATCCACAGTGTATTCTATCCCATATTTTCTTTACCTATTCATCTGTCGATGGATACAGGTGAATTCCATCTTGGCTACTGTCAACAATGCTGCAATGAACATGTGGTCTCTTCAACATACTGATTTCATTTCCTTAGGGTATATGCCCAGCCATAGCATTGCTGGATCATATGGTAGTTCTATTTTTAATTTTTGAATAACCTAAATTCTATTTTCTATAATGGCTATACTAATTTACATTTCTACTAGCAGTCTAACTTTAGGTACATGTGTTTATATATATATGTGTGTGTGTGTGTGTGTGTGTGTGTGTGTGTATAAATACAGTGAACCTCTTATTTGCTCTAAAAATGCCCATATATATTAGATATCAAAAGCTATTTGGCAATAACCCTCTCTGGCCTTAGGCATTCTCATTACCTCCTATTTCTTTAAGATTTGCCTGTCATCCTCCAATCTAGCATATAACCTTAGTGCAAGTTCTCATTGAACTGGAAACACCTGAAGCCATATCTCATTTTCTTATCCCCCTAAACTTATCTCATCAGTATACTGAAAACAGCTTCAGTTTGTGGACACAGGTAAAGTTTAAATGACTCTTGTTTACTTACTTACTTACTTTTCTGAACCTGAAGCTTTGCCATTATTATTTATAATATCACTTCTACATAATGGAAGAACTTATTTTAAGAAGTAAAGGAGCAATATAAGGTGATATAGTTTGGATATTTGCACCCTCCAAATCTCATGTTGAATTTTGATCCCCAATGTTGGAGGTGGGACTGATGTGAAGTGTTGGTATCTTGGGGGCAGATCCCTCATGAATGACTTGGTGATGGACCCTTAGTGATGAGTGAGTTATTGCTCTATTAGCTCACACAAGATCTGATTATTAAAAAGAGGCTGGCACCCTCCACCCTTTCTCTCACTCCTTCTCTCGCCATGTGACATACCTGTTCACCTTCTGCAATGATTATAAGCTTCCTGAGGTTCTTGCCAGAAGGAGATTCTGGCATCATGCTTCTCATAATATCTGTAGAGCTGTGAGCCAAACTCTGGCATAGAGGGGTGGAGGAGGAGGGGCAGGGGCAAGATATGTAACCCTAACAATATTTGTACCCCCATAATATGAGGTAATAAATAAATAAATAAATAAATAAAATAAAT